TCTTCGGCTGCCAGACTACGTTGACGCTCACGTCATATACTACTTATAAGTAGCTCACACCACATATCTACAGTAGTGTCATGTTCAGTCACTTCTTCAATCATGACCTCGGCACTCTTAATTTTAGGAAGTACAAATGCTAATCAATACTCCATCACTCACTATCTTCCTCTCTTTTGCTTAGTCCATAGTCGTTCTCTCCATTTATTACACAACTCAGTGTTTACCATCACTTCTGGAACAAATTCATAACATCGTTTCTTATTCATTTTTCAATTTCATATTGCTAAATAATGCAACACCTATTCTATCCAGATACTTGTCAACTCTCGAAAACTTCAATCATTTCGAAATGATACGCTTTTATTCACAGATCGTTATGTCCCCTGTCTAGTACTTCCAATGATCAATTAAAGCAAATAACCTGTGAGGTCATTGAAGAACAGTCGGATACAATGCAATAAGGGAAATCCTCCTCTCGACGACATCATCTCATCAACCTATACAATCAGACTCGTAGTTAGTTAACAAATAAAATGGACGGTGGAAAAGTAGAAGGACAATCACGTCATACCATGGGTGAAGTAAAATTGCCATACGATTGAGAATTTGAAGTGACATGATAAACAAAGTAAAATCGTCCACTCTACGAGTATCAGAAGGCTGAAGAATAAATTAGAAACTAAAAGCTATCAACTGAAGAAGAGTGAACACAAAAACATCAAGGTGATAATAACGCATTATTGAAATTAGGAGGATTAAAAGCATTGGAAGAATGCATCAAGAATCCAGTTACCGTTTATGAAGCTCAAGCGTCAGTGTCATCGAAGAATGATGGTTTGTATGTGTCTTTTTTGCACACACAGTCTAAACTTCAAAAGATGGTTGGCAAACACCGGTGTTTGCTTGTGTCCCTCTCCAACTAAACTGCCTTTACACATATGTTAGGATATTCATCCAATATCCTAAGAGAATTATTGGTCAGTCCCTATTTGTTAATTTCTACTGGTCAATTTTATGGTCGTCCTAGATATCAATGTCACGCGCTCCAATGTTGTTTCTCATTGGTTGTCCTGACTATCAATGTCACTTCAAATGTTGCTTCCTATTGGTCGTCTTAACTGTCAATGTCACAGACTTCGATGCTGTTTCCTATTCGACCTAAATGCATAAATACGCATTATCTGTAACATTTTATGACCAGGACCCGGACCCCTAGTCCGGGATCCTGATTCTCTTCTGGACTCGGACCTCATACTTATGTATGCTTGTAGAATACAGGTACCACTTCATGGCAAGTCTCCTTATTTTTACTCAATATGGGGGTTGGAATAATCGGATTTGAGTAGCTGGTCGTGTCTCCGGATCCTCGCTCTCGTTTTCCGACTAGGTAACCTCGTCATAGCCTCAAGCGTACCTAGTGACGAACATAATAAGTTGTGAACGACAGTCAAGATGCAAGTCGACCCCAGAAGCACACGCTATTAAAAAGGGGAGGAGTGTGTAGGATGTTGGATCCCCAGAACTCGCTGCCTATACACATATGTGTATGAATTTGAAGGATTTATCAAATGTGACCACGTGGCCAGAGTTGATTAGATGTTTGAATATTGGACTGTTGATTGTTTTACTTTCACATTTCTAAACTCACAAACGATAATGTTCACAGATACATTCAAAAAGTACTCAAATCGTATGGCCAATGTAACCTTCTCCATAACAGTGACTATAGTTGCAAATGCACAATGATATGGTCCAATGTGAGAGTGTATCCTTGGAACACTTATGAACAATAAGGTGGCTGGATAATCTTTAATTACTCTATTAAATGATGCAATATCATTTACATTTCATAGACTGCTGCTTTCAACACTTGAATAAGTTTGACTATCTATGAGAATCTGCAGTAGTAGGTGTTAGGATATTCATCAAACATCCCAAGAGAACGAATTTGTTTTGTAAGTCTAGTTCCTATTGGTCAATTCCTACTGGTCAATATTGTGGTCGTCCTAACACTATCAATGTCACATACTTTAATGTTGTTTCCTATTTGACCTAACTGTATAAATATTGCATTATCTGTAAAGCTTATTATTCCTTCTTTCCTTCTGTACTCTCTACCCCATAAACAACTTTCATCTAACGGTGTTGTGTTCTGGTATATATTGGAGATTTGTGAACAGTATTCGGGGTCGTATTGGAATATCTGGATTTGGTCAATCGGTAAGAGTTCGAATAGATGCATAGCAGTATTACAACAGTATGTCTCAGCGTACAGGTATTTATTAACAGGTGCCTAGGGAAGATACTACGAATCCGTTGGCAAGATAGCATCAGGAACAATTTACTGTAAGAGAGAACATATCACGTTCCAGCTGAGCAAAAATTAGAAAAAAGCGTTAGAAGTGGATGGTACACACATTGAGGAAAGCACCTAAATACATCACAAAGCAAGCCTTAACTTGAAACCCGCAAGACCAAAGGAAAGCAGGAATACCAAGGAAAACATTTCATCAATGGTTGGAGCAGATATAGGATGAATGAATAGCAATTAGACAGAACTGGAATCGAAGGCCCAGGGAAGAGTAGGCTGGAGAATACTAGTCGGTGGCCTATCCTCCACTGAGGGTAACCGACGTAAGTAGGTAATCTATAAGAACCTTTGTAACATTGCCGTAATTTACTATGATTTCATTTAAAAATGATTATACCATTTAAGAGTATGTTAGGATATTCACCAAATATCCTAAGAATACTATTTTTAGAAGTACAATCCTATTGGTCGAAATTATGATCGTTCTAACTATCAAAGTCAAATAATTCAATGTTGCCTCTTATTGGTCATCTGAACTGTCAATGTCATTCAAATGTTCTTTTCTATTGGTCGTCCTAAACTGTCAATGTCACAGACGTTGATGCTCTTTCTTATTCAACCTTAATGTATAAATACGCACTATCTGAAAGACTTAATGATTCGGATTCCAATTCCGTTTCTCCTGCCCACCTGTGTATTCGACCCAATAGACAACTCCATCCCACGGTGTTGCGTTCTGATAATATCTAGGAGATTTGGAAATAGCATTTTGGGTCGTATTGGGATATTTGAATTGGACGCCGCTAGGAATGAATAGCTATACGTAGCAGCGTTACAACAGAGAATAATACTATCAAAAAATAACATTTCCCTTGTTATAACATATTTCTGTTTATTAATCTTAACTAAAATAAAAATCTTATTTTACACACAGACACACACACACAACAGGAAACAGGGGGCCAAAACTGTTTTTTCATCTCACAAAAAGAAAAACTAAAAGGCGAAGCAAGTAATCATAGAAAACTACCAGTAAAAATAAAAAATATTAGAAATCATTGGTGCCCAGGGGACAAACAACAAAAAAAAACAGAAACCCTCCCCGCCCCCAGACCCCGCCGCCGCATTTTATACCTGATTACAAAGATACTCTATTACTACAGATTGACAAAAATGAACAGGGGGAATATAAGAATAAAAGGAAGGATACTGTACTTGATGATAAATCAAGTCAAAATCATAACAAATTGTGCATTGGTTTGGAAGCATGACCACATTAAAATACAAGAGTTTTACATTTACAAAATTTATAGGTAGAAAGTAACGTAGGAAAAAAAAGTGATATGCATCATCAACTTGTATATATCATTTATTTACATAAGACTGACTGGGGGGAGGTTGACGTTGGTTGAGGAGGATAGGAGACGACAGTGGTAGCAGAAGGTGTTGTTATTTTTTTCAATGATCCCTTCGTATCATTCAATGATGATGGATCAATGAAATGATCGCTTACATTTTTTACATCCTTATTAAGAGGTTCAATTTCACATGGATCTTTAATTACCGACTGTTCTGATTGTTGACCATTACAACATTTACGTTTAATAATTAAACTTAGAAAAATCAGATACAAGGGGATTGGTGTTAACATTGCAACAGTGATTGGCATAATAGCACCTAATTCACCAATTGGTTCAGGCATTGTATATAATAACACTAATATACCAACACCAATATTTTGTATACCAGTTTCTAATGCCACAGTGATAATTAATTTACGTGGTTGTCTTACAGACCATGTAAATAGAGCAGCTATAGTAAAACCAACCCATGGTAATAATGCACATGTAGCTAGTAGTAATGGATAAACTCCTAATAAACGTAACAATGACCAATTAATATAAATACCAATAGTTAAAAAGAATAATATAAATAAATAAAATAATGGACGTGTTAATTTTGTACAACATATAGCTAATTGTGGTTTCCATATACGTAAGCCTAAACCCAGCAATGCTGGTATAGCTACTTGTAATAGTTGAAATATAATATTTAAATAGGGTATTTGTATTTTATTCACATCAATAAAGAATCGTCCATAGATGAAAAGGAGTAGTGGCATCATAACTGTGTAAAGAAATGAATAGAAAAAGAAAATGACAATGAACATAATTTATGATATGATGGTTTATGTATAATATTATTAAAATAAATTTAAAGCTTAGTGATAATAATAATAATAATAATAATAATAATTTGATTGTGACCGAGTTTGGTCTCATGTGTTGTTACGGGTATGAGGGTGATTGTCAATTGCCGGCTGCCCATACACCGTGGAAGGGTGTTTCTTGGCGAACCTGAAAAAGAAGGTCTTAAGAACCAGGGAGCGTGACCACAGAGCCCAGGGGACAACTGCTTGAGGTCGGTCATGCACGGCCTTTTGATGAAAGGGTTTTCTGAGTATTAGCTCCGCTCTTAAAAGCCCTTAGTGGGCACCCTTACCCAAGGAGACGGAAATCCGTGAGGTAGGGTGAGGTGTGATATTTCTAGGGTCGACCTTTACTAACCCTTCCTTCCTTGTGAGAAGGCAGCATCGCTGCAGATGCTGGTTGTCCAGGAGAAATACCTTACTGTTGTCACACCCCTCTACAGTCAGCAGTGGGACTTCGCCCTCAGACCTTGGGTAGCTGCTTTTAGTCTCATCGTTCCCCGATCGACCTGCCTGGCATGGTACAACCTACAGGAACATATGTTCCAGCCAATATAGCTCGGTTGGGTCATCATAATAGGCAAGCCCGACCACCATATCAAGGTAGAAGCTGTGGTAATAATAATTCTTACACACGCAAGTCAACACGTCATTTTGATATGCTTGAACTATTACGAGTTCATATTAGTCAGTAAACGACAGCGAGGATCGATGATTCGGTGACATGACAAGCTATTCTAATCAGAGCATCTCAAACCCCCATTGAGTAAAAGAAGAAGACTTGATATAAAGTAGGAGGTATATTCATTCTACAAGCATCCTGAAAGTACACGGTCCGAGCCCAGAAGACGCTAAGGATCCCGGACTAAGGAACCGGGTCGTAAAACGTTACAGATAGTGCATATTTATACAGTTAGGTCGAATAGGAAAACAACATTAAAGTCTGTGATATTGACAGTTAGGACGTCCGATAGGAATTAACCAATAGGAATTGACCGAAAGAACTAGACTTACGAAGAATTCTCTCAGGATATTGGATGAATCTCCTGACGATAATAATAATAATTCATTTATGAATAGAAATGGTTCTTTATCATTGTTTAATCCTAAATGGCTTTTATGAAAAACTCCACCTGCAGCCCGGATTAAAAATAATTCGCTGGTCAGCAGCCTATGCTCCATTGGGGATAACAGGCGTAAGTAAGTAAATCATTAAGGCTTTTATGAAAAGATTTCTGAAAGCATTGTTCTTTTCGATTGATTGATTTCAATGTTTCCGTGAATGTAAAGCAGACGCAACAATTTAAAACTCTTTCGTATCTCAAATAATTATTTACTAAATATGGTTATGTATCATTATCAAGGTTGGACTTCCAGGTTTCTAATGGTGGTCTGAAGTTGATCGATTCATGATTTAAATGAGTAATTTAACAATCTCCACAACCCTGTGCTCACTAGTGTGACTAGCTCCGTGAGGAATCTTCTCCGAGGTTCTAGTGATAAGCCGTGACCAGTGGGGGGTTCAACCGTGTTCCGATGTAGGCATTAACAACCGAAGACAGTGTATGAGGTTGCACAAGACCGCGAATTGATCGAAGTTAGACATTAACACCGTTAGATACCTGCTCACTCACTCGTCCAGATATTAGACGTTAGTGCGCAAGACCGAAGGTCCTAGGTTCGAATCCTGCGAGGTGCAGGAACCGTGGATACGCACTGCCACTGATGATTCATTCCGATTGCATGGCCAAACACCCGTCCAGTGCCTTCAGCTTTCTAATAGTGGTCTAGCACTGATCTACTCATGATTTCAAAGAGCAATTGAACAATCTTCGCAACACCATAATGCAATTTCAAATACATTTAGCATCGGGGTAGACTGGTAATACTAAAAATTATGTATATATGAGAAAGCTAGAAAATATTTTTCGACGTTTCGTGACTTTTTCAGAATAGAAAAAAAACAACATGAAATGTAGCATAACTTCATGTTGTTTGCATTATATGGTCGAAAAAAATTTAGTACTTTTCACTTCATATGAGTTTCTAAAAAAAAACATCAACAAGTTTTATCAACTTTCTTCATAAAAATAACTGTTTCGTTTTTATCTTAAATTAAAAATCAAAATTGATAAAATAATAATAATAAATAATTAAATTATTTTTTTTTTTATTTATTGCGATAAGTAGAGAAATTGAATTTCAAAAATTTTTTACAATTGACTGTACGTTGATTTTGAAACAACGATAAATCAATGATTTTTCTTCATAGGGTGGTGATTGTGGAGATTGTTTTGAGTTTCATAGGAATTATGAATCAATCAATATTAGACCACCACATTAGAAACCTGGAAGCACGGGGCGGCCGCTTTTTCCTAGTATGAGACTCATTAGTGATGCATATCCATGACCCTTGCTCGCGAAAATCGAACCGAAGACCTTCGGTTTTTTGGTACGAAAGCTTAACCCTTAGACCATTGAGCCAGCATCCAACGATGTAATTGTCAGATTTGAATCAGTTCATGATAATGCACGAGAACTGTGCCTAGTCTTCAGTGGGTAAATGCTTCACATACGACAACGTTGAACTCTACTGGTCACAACTTCTCACCTAGAACTTCAAAAACTTCATCACGAAGGTAGTCACTAGTGAGTATATACTAATTGTAAGTATACAGTTGTTGACATTACTGATTTTCACTGAAATCATGATGATGATCGAGCAATATCTTCGATTTAATTCAAGTTAGACATTGATACCATTAGATACCAGCTTAGTAGTCAAGATGTTAAGCGTTCGCAGACTAGATGGAAGGTCCTGGATTCGGTTCCCTATGGTAGGGGTTTCGTGGATACGTAGTGTTGATGAGTCCCCTACTCGGACAGAACTGACTTTCAGTGCATCCATTTTTCTAATTGTGATACAACATTGATCAATTCATGATTCTGATACATTTTATGAACATTAAGTTCGATAAGTACTCATGAAATTTTAGCAGAAAAACGTATTAATTAATCGAAATACTTCTAGTTTGTTCCCCTGCATAATTTTTTGAAAAAAGGAATAACGATTTGCTTATCTAATTTTGAAGTAAATATATAAATCATATAACTGGACTACCGTGAACATTTCAACGTACATAACAGTGACTGACCAGATCTCAGCACGGATACAGAAGGCTCGATTGGCTTTTGCCAACTTGCGTCACCTATGGAGCAGGCGAGATATCCAACTGCTAACCAAAGAACGAGTGTACCGTACAACAGTTCGCTCCGTCCTAGTCTATACGGATGCGAAACATGGCCGAAGAGAGCAAAGGACATTCGTAGATTGCGTCTCTTCAGTCATAAGTTTCTCCGAAGCACTGATCGTATAGCCTGGAACATCCGAGTAAGCAATGTTGTCGTCAGGAAACGAGTACTAGGTAGGGATAGCAAATCAATAGATGAAGTGTTGGAACTTCATCAGTTGAGGTGGTTCAGACGTGTGTTACATGTGCCCAACCGCCGATTGCTTCGACGAGCAATGTTTTGCGGAGTAGGTTGGAAGAAAGCTGGTGGTGGCTAAACCAAAGCACGGCAGAAATACATGAAGTCACTAACAAGGGGACTGAGTTATGTTGGTAGATTTAGGCTACCTGGTTGGGGTTCGCGAGATGATAGTCACCGATTGTTAGAGACCATGAACGACGTGCCTCAAAATCGTTTGCAATGGCGAAGGTGCATCCGCTCTTTGTGTTCTCTCAAATTCTAACCTTCTGAATTCCTCATCATCTCTATCTTTCTCTTTCTAAATTTATTTCACTGAAAGGTGGATCGGATGCAGATGTGAGGGCGCGGATCGGCAAAGCAAGGACTGCATTTCTACAGTTGAAAAATATCTGGAACTCCAAACAACTTTCAAACAAAACCAAAATCAGCATTTTCAATACAAATGTCAAGACAGTTCTACTGTATGGAGCAGAAACATGGAGAACTACCAAAGCCATCATCCAGAAGATACAAGTATTTATTAACAGTTATCTACGCAAAATACATTGTATTCGTTGGCCAGACACCATCAGCAACAACGAACTGTGAAAGGAAACAAACCAGATTCCAGTGGAGGAGGAAATCAGGAAGAATCGGTGGAAGTGGATAGGACACACACTACGAAAAGCACCTAACTGCGTCACGAGACAAGCCCTCATATGGAACCCTCAAGGCAAAAGGAAAAGAGGAAGGCCAAGGAACACACTACGCCGAGAAATAGAGAAAGATATGAGAGGAATGAACAAACATTGGACAGAACTGGAGAGGGAAGCTCAGGACAGAGTTGGTTGGAGAAAACTGGTGGGCGGCCTATGCTCCATTGGGGGTAACAGGCGTAAGTACAAGTAAGTAAGAATTATACTTCTCGAATCATATCTTCGAACCTTAATCTTTTCCATTACTACTATTAATATTTCTACTATCGCTATCACTATGTGACTTCAACTGACAGTTGCATCTTTGTGCTAACTCCGATATGGCAACCTGAACTGATGTAGGTACGTACAAAGTTCTGCGTTGTATCTCTCTCTCTCCCTCTCTCTCTGTCTGTCTAACGTACAGTACTAACAAAAGACATAGTACTGTTTGTTAGTTTTAAACAAACAAGTTACTCTTTTTCATCAAAAAATTCATATGACCACTACTAAACCATTACATTGTGAATAGCATAATATTCTTATCATATCTAAATAATTTTTCTCTTCACATAAAAAACATCACAACTTGAGTAACAATCGAAATTTAGAGAAATATGTTGACTTCAGCATGATAGTTATAAAATTGAATCACATTTGAAAATACAACAGACACAGACAATAAACACAACAACAACTTATTGATAAAGTACACAATGCATTTCCTTTTTTTCAAGGTTTTCGCCAACTTAAAACCTTTTTCATAGTATATATCACAATTGTTGATTCGTGTATACTTTGAACAAGTATATCAATGTTCACATATTCTCTCTATGTGTGTGAGAGATATATGTATGATCAACTAAGTATTTTTTTTTCTACTCAACTGAATGAAGGTAAAGATTACTACTTCCAGACGAACTTGTTATTATCTAATGAAAGTAGACTTACAGAAAAAAGAATTCAAATATTCAATAAATTTCATCATACTATTTGTTTAGTTGAATAGAGATCTTGAAAATGTTACATGTTTTTTCTTAGAATCTTCTTCATTAAATATCTTAAGAGAATAATGTTTGGAAGTCTAATACCTATTGGTCAATTACTACTGGTCGATATTATGGTTTGTCCTAACACTATCAAAGTCACATACAGTCAGTCAGTCAGTCAGATGCAACGTAGAACTTCGTACGTAAGTATATCAGTTCATGTCGCCTTAACACATCAGTACTGAGACGCCATTGTCCATTCAAATCCAATAGTAGAAGAGGTAGTAAAGGTATTAGAAGTAATCGGAGAGGTTAGGATTAGAAGATATTATTCAAGAAGTATGCTTAAATGAGAAAAGTTTGGAAAGACAAAGGTAGAGTTGTTGAAGAACCCAGAAGATTAGGATTTGAGAGAACATAAAGAATAAATGCACCGGTGCCATTGTGCCAACGGTTTTGAGCCATGTCATTCAAGGTCTCTAACCATCGATTATTATCATCTCGCGGACCCCAACCAGGTAGTCGACAATTACCGACATGGCTAAGTCCACTCATCAATGACTTCATGGATTTCTGCCATGTTTTGATTTGGCCGCCCCTAACTTTCTTCCAACCTATTCCTACACTACAAAACAAAGCTCGACGAGGCAGCCGGTGGTTGGGCATACGCAACGCATGTCCCAATCACCTCAACTGATGAAGTTTCATTACTTCATCTATTGATCTGCCATTCTTACCTAGCACCCGTTTCCTAATAACAGCGTTGCTTACTCGATTGTCCCATGATATACGAGCAATGCATCGAAGACACCTATGATCGAAAACCAGTAACTAACTATCAATGTCAGTTCAGATGTTGTTTCCTATCGATCGTCCTAACTATCAATGTCACAGACACTTCAATCTTGTTTCCTATTTGACCTGACTGTATAAATATTGCATTATCTGTAAAGCTTATTATTCCTTCACTCATTCCTTCTGTACTCGACCTCATAAACAAACTTTTATATAACGGTGTTGTGTTCTGGTATATATTGGAGATTTGGGAACAATAATTGGGGTTGTATTAGAATATCTGAATTTGTTCAGTCTGTAGGATTTCAAATAGCTACCTAGAGACATCATATAACAGTTTTCATTTAAAATAAAACCTCAAATTAACAACACTGAGTAGACAGTAGTAATATATATAAGTTGAACTTACATAAAGCTGATAAGCTACTAATAAATGTCATTAATATACTCAAATTAATATCACCATTCAGTAAAAGACTCCAACCATTACTGGCACCACCGCCAGGAGAACAAGCAATTGTCAATAAACCGAAAGCAAACTCTGATCGAATTGGTATCGCTTTTACAATGCCGAATGCAATCTGAGAAAAAAAACCAAACGAACAATTATATTAATGAAGAGTTAAGTTTTGAAACAGTATCAAAAAGTCTTGATATGGCGTAGAAAGTGTATTCTAGAAGCACACAGAAAATATGAGGTTTTGTACTGTAGAAGAAGCAGAAGAGGAGCATAAAACTTTACAGACAATGCATATTTATATAGTTAGGTTGACCGTGAATATTAATCAATAAGAAACAACATTTAAAAGTATATGGGACTTGATAGTTTAGGACGTCCTTAAATATTGACCAATAGAATTAGACTTACAAAATAATTTCTTTAGGATATTTGATAAATATCCTAACAGAGTTACAGAAATTTCTTTTTACTGCCTAAACGAAGAGATATTGAATGACTTATATGAGTGATTTATATACCACTTATACATAGATATACCTATGTTAACGCTGGGGAATCCTTTTGAAGAACTATATTCTAAAGTTATGTGTACAGTCTAAGGATGTTGAAAAAAAACAGAGCAGTAACTGCAAAGATGTTCCAAGAGCTCTCTTCAGCAAGGTTTTTGAGAAAGACCAGGAAAAAAACAGACTGAAATCAAGGCCATCTCATCAACATACCAAAGAAAAGACATCTCAGCAAGTGTGAGAACTACAGAGGCATCTTCGACACTACGGTATGCCTGAGAAGATAGTCAACATCATACGGAACTCTTAAGATGAACTAAATTGCAAAGTCGTGCATGGAGGTCAGCTCACAAACTCATTCCAAGTAATGACCGATGTCAGGCAAGATTGCTTATTCTCACTCTTTCTGCTTTTCTTGAAGACGTCAGCACCTAAGGGGAAGCATGGGATACAGTGGATAGCTTGGATATAGCTGGACGGTCTTGAGTTCGCAAATGATCTAGCCCTTGTATCCCACACACAACAACAAATGCAGGAGAAGACGACCAGTGTAGCAGCAGACTCAGAAACAATAGGTCTCAACATACATAAAGGGAAAAGTAAAATTCTACGATACAACACAATGTGCTCAAACCAAATCACTCTTGATGGAGATGCCTTGGAGGACGAAAACACCTTTACATATCTGGGCAGCATCATTGATGTGCAAAGTGGATCTGATGCAGATGTAATGCACGGATAGGGAAAGCAAGGGCTGCATTTCTAGAATCGGACAATATATGGAACTCAAAACAACTATCAACAAACACCAAAGTCAGAATTTTCAATACAAATGTCAAGGCGGTTCTACTGTATGGGGTGGAAAGTTGGAGAACTAAAAAAAAACTATCGTCCAGAAGATTCAAGTAATTATTAACAGTTGTCTACGCAAAACACTTCAGATCCGTTGGCTAGGCACCATCAGCAATAACCTACTCTGGGATAGAACAAACCACATCATCTCATCAGAGGATGAAATCAGGAAGAAGCATTGGAAGTGGATAGGACACACATTGAGGAAATCACCTGAGTCACAAGACAAGCCCTTACTTGGAAACCTCAAGGCCAAAGGAAAGCAGAAATACCAAAGAACACGATGTTACGCCGAGAGTTGAAGACTGAAAGCAATTGGATAGAACTAGAAAGGAAGGCACAGGACAGAGTTTGTTGATCTGCAGCCTATTATACAGCCCATTAAAATGTAACAGGAATAATTAAGTATGCATTAACTTAACCAATCATCAAAACAATGAAGTATAAACAACTTTAATCATAACATTGATCAGATAGTGTTTCATTTAAATGTATAAAAAATGTGTTAATCTATATTTCATTGATTGGTCGACTAGGTCACACTATTATAAATAATGTCGTTAAACGAATCGCAAAATCAACCAGTCAATCTGATTCTAGACAAAAGTACCATATAGTTAGTTATCGTTATTGGAAAAAAAAATAGTAACAGGTGAGTCATTCATTCATATTATCTGACAAATTCCAATATACTGGTAGTATCTCTAATTTAAACTATTCATGACCATAATGGATTATAACAAAAATGTGTAACGCATTGACACATTGAATTTGTCTGTGCTGAAAATGTTTGTTTTATACAACAAGTAAATGGGTTGTTCGCTTCAATAGCGTAAATGTAAATATTTGAAAATGGAAGAAAATAGTATGATGGTGAAAAAAACAAATTACTAACATTAAATAGGATTAAAAATGATTGAATATTTGTGACAGAATAATTTGAACATTTAACTCGAGTTCAAACTTAGAACTGATCAAATAACATGGTTCCATTTCAATCAAACATTCAAACGATAATAAACGCGCACAAACAAACTAGGACGAAATTAAGCAACAATAATAATCAACTAGGTGATGGTGTGGTGCGAGCTACTTGTAAGTAGTATATGACGTGAGTGTCAACGTAATGTCTGGCAGATGGGGGAAGATCAAGAAAGGAACAGCGGGAACACAATGGAATTTGTATGAAACGCATGAATAGTGACAATGGATTGATGTTTTGCAACAGGAACAGTCCAGTTCGATATGCTGGACTGATATTTTGCGAATTAACGATTTCCGATATGGTTTTCCTATTTTACTGAGTAACTCTGTAATTATCGTTAAATACAATTCGGTTGCCCCACCTGCGATCTCCTTCACTACAATGGTACTAAATCATTTTATACAGTAATATAATTTTGGGATCAAGAAAGGTCAGTCAGTCAGTCAGTAGTCAGTTACAACGTAGAACTTCGTACACGAGTACATAAGTTCAGGTTGTTATACCACATTTACACAGAGACTGCAATTGTTCATTCAAATCCCATAGTGTTAGCGATAGTAGAAGTATTAGCAGTAATGGAGAAGATTAGGATTTGAAGATATAATTCGAGAAGTATAATTCAGTGAGATAAGTTTAGGAAGAGAAAGAGATGATGAAGAATTCAGAAGGTTAGAATTTGAGGCAACACAATGAATGAATGCACCTGCACCGTTGCAAACGATTTTGAGCCATGTCATTCAAGATCTCCAACAATCGGTTACTGTCATGTCGCGAACCCCAACCAGGTAGTCTACATCTACCAACATGACTCAGTCCACTTGTCAGTGACTTCATAGATTTCTACCATGTTTTGGTTTGACCGCCCCTAGCTCTCTTCCAACCTACTCCTACACCACAAAACATCACTCGTCAAGGCAGTCGGTGGTAGGACATACATAACACGTGTCCCAACCACCTCAACCGAAGTTTCACCTCTTCATCAATAGATCTGCAAAACCTACCATGTACTCGTTCCCTAACTATGGCGTTGCTCACTCAGTTGTCCCAGGATATCATAGAATGGAATAACATAGACTGAAAAAACTGGTTATTATATCTAGTAGATCACATAAACGCTATCGGTCTAGATCTAGTATCTAGTAGTGAACGCCGACAACTAACTAGATAGTTCCATGTCGAAATCTTGTATCATCATTCTCAATATAGCTACATGCATAACACTGTATCACAGCTAAAAACGGTAATAGGCATAAAAATTGCTAAAATATATGCCACTCGGGTGAGACTGTAGTTTATGGGCGACCTCTGACCAACATCAAAGTAACCTTGAGAAGACTCGCCTATTTACTAGGGTCTAAAGAGGGCTATCAATGAGTGTGAGAAATTAGAACTGGGATATAAAGTTACGAATTAGAGTTAGGACTTTTCAACACGAACCGACATTAGTTATGCTGTCATAATTATTCTGTTTAGCAATATAGGGGAATAAGTTTCGCGCCGAAATCTGAGACTCATTAACTTAAATCTGATTGGTTCATCTAAGAATTATAGTGTCGCCTCTATTCGCAGGTTGAAACGTATTATGAAATTAACTGAAATGTAGAGTGTTAATTTAACAGTTTTGATAGAATGCTTCATTTTTTAATTAGATTTATGGAGATTATTGTTTTAACACATTCTAATTATCAATCAATCATTGTTAGACCAACGCTAGAAACCTGAAAGCACTGGACGGCCTTTTCGCCCTGGTATGGGACTCATCAGCAATGCGCATCCACGATTCTTGCACCTCGTAGGATTCAAACCCGAGATCGTCGGTCTTGTGCGCGAACGCCCAACCTCTAGTAGTCTAACAATGATTGATGATGTGTAAAAATGTATCATTATTTTGGGTAAATTTAATGAAAGGAATACTTATTTCAATTTATTGATTCAGTGATTCATTTAAACCCTTTATGGCAAGCAACCTCATGTGAAACTCATATTGTATATGTATATATATATATATATATATATATATATATATATATATATATATATATATTGTACGCATATTTTTAAAAATAAAACTTTCTACACCATTCTTTTGATCTGTTAATGTTATCCTATTCAACTTCATTAAGGTACAAAAACATGAACTTATAAAATTTTATCATGCATCAATTTTAATTCACTTATGATTTTTATACGTACAGTAATTATTCACATTTTTCAAGTAAAAACACGTTATATTCTGTTGATCATTACAAAAACAAGACACTTTCAGAAACAGTAATATTAACATTTTATTGTATACATATGCCGCCACATAAATTAACATTTATTGTGTTGTATGTGATGATGTACGCCAATGTTGCAGCATCGTAACACACTATGTAAATTATTCCTCTCCAGTTTTACATTGATTTACGAACACAAACACAGTCGCAAATCTTTATCCACAAGATAGAGTACTACCACTTGAATTAATAAGTTTTAGTTTATTAGGACGTTTTAATTTAATGAATAAGGCGGATAGGTGTTGCTTTTGCCAGTTTGCCTGCTGTTATAATTCTCTGTTTATATTACAACCCAGCTATTCCTACTAATGCTTAGTATTCTCGGACACCGATTCAATCGAAACGTCATTCCAAATCAGAACACGATTGAACAGGAAAATAGAGATTATATCCCAATAACAAGGTTAGATGGAAGATAAACGGTTTAAAGGAAAAAGACGTTAGTATATTTATAGTTTTCTCACATGAGTAGATTCATTGAATGTTCCCTTAGTATGGGCTAGTGCTGATTGGATACGAAAGAGCCAATCAGCATGCAACAACGTAATCATGCTTTTTATTTCCAATCTATGTCCCAATAACACCTACTTTCTTTGAGAATATATTCCCATGATCTTGTATACATGTATGATTGATCACATTAATCACAGTGTACTTATATACTCTTGTTGTTATTTGTTTATGTGTTAATTGCTAACATCTCTTGATGACTCATAAATTGATTTATCCAATTCATCTATTGCCTTATGTGTTTGTCAATGTTGTATTTGTACCCAAAATGAAATGTTGCACCAACTTCGCCTCTTAACAATGAGATCTAGTAATAGCGGGTAATGAGATGATGGGTGTTAGCAGACATATGAATAGATAACTTTGAAGATACTACTCATTCATAAAATCTAAAACTAACCACTAAGAAAGTGACTATAAAAATGTAGTGAAGTAAAGAGATGTTTTTACGTGAACTATGAAAAATCAACATGATTAGATAATGTTAGGTATAGAAATTGAAAATCGAAATATATTTGAACATAAATTAAATTTGTAAGTCATAATAAATAGTACAGATACTCTGTCAATGTATATGAAAATGAATTTGAATGGATTTATGGTTTTAATTAGATAATCAGTTATTAAGTTCTATATATATATATATTACTTTACTCGCCTGTTAAATCACATGACAGTAGGGGAAAAACAAAAAAGATCAAAAGATAATAGAATATCCCAATGGATATTTTACGCTTGATTGAACATTCACGCAGAATATCGTAAGATTTTTATATAATTATCAAAATAAAAACAGATCTACTTTAAATTGTGATTATATATATCCACTCAGTATATATTAAGACTGCTTTTGAAAGATAATTCTATATATGTTGGATACTTACTTGTATACCATATCAAACAGACTAGTATATAAACTAAAATGCATTTTAGAAGCTTTTTAATTTAAAACTTATTCGTACAGAAATTCACCAATGAAAAACGTAACACTATGAATGGTCTTAGTTAAGTATGAGGTTTACCATGTCCCGGTTACTAAATATCAATATGATATCTATTTTGAGGATATATTTGATGTTGGCTAAGAATGAATGCGCTACCCCGACCACCGACTGCCTCGATGGGTGATGTTTTGTGGTGTAGGAGTAGGTTGGAAGAAAGTTAGGGGTGGTCAAACCAAAACATGGTAGAAATCCATGAAATCACTGATAAGTGAACTGAGTCATGTTGGTAGATGTAGGCTACCTGGTTGGGGTTCGCGAGATTATGGTCACCGATTGTTAGAGACCTTGAATGACATGGCTTAAAATCGTTTGCACTGGTGCAAGTGCATCCACTCTTTGTGTTGTCTCAAATTCTAATCTTCTGAATTCCTCATCATCTGTATCTTTCTCTTTCTAAATTTACCTTACTGAATTATACTTTTCGAATCATATATTCGCTCCCTAATCTTCTCCATTACTGCTAATGTGATGCGAGCTACTTATAAGTAGTATATGACGTGAGTGTCAACGTAATGTCTGGCAGCAGAAGATGGGGGAAGATCAAGAAAGGGAGAGTGGGAACACAACGGAATTTGTATGAAACGCATGAATAGTGACAATGGATTGATGCTGTTTGCAACAGGAACAGTCCAGTTCGATATGATGAACTGATATTTTGCAAATGAACGATTTACGATATGGTTTTCTTATTTTACTGAGTAACTCTGTAATTTTCGTTAAATACAATTCGGTTGCCCTCACCGGTGTTCTCCTTCACTACACTAATACTTGTACTATCTCTATCACTATTGAATTTGAATGGACAATCGCCGTCTCTGTGTAAATGTGGTATGGTAACCTAAACTTATTTACTCGTGTACGAAGTTCTGCGTTGTATCCGTCTGTCTGTTAGTCTACGCTACTCTAGTACTCAAAGTTTCTGAAATAAAACTGACATCTAACTAACTAACATCTAACTTCTATGAACGAACAGATTGAAATCGATAGTTTCAAAAGTTTCACATTCAAAAAATAATTAATAAAAACAAAAATAGCTACACATTCAAGCTATTGAATATTTAATCAAAATTAAATAACGAATTTACAATCTAGTTCTCCAAAAGAAACAAAAAAAAAACAAACGAGAATCAACAAATTGACTTACCAATGGCATAAAAAAGAATTGACAAAAGAATCCAATCGATATGGAAATTGGTCGTTTAAAATGCTGCAACAATAAAGCCACTTCCAAATCACAACCCATTGTAAATGTGAATATAGTCACCATGATTATGACAAAAATACGAAAAATAATATGACCAATACCTTTATATGTGGTTACAATCACTGGAAAACCTAATGTATTATTATTTCCATGGTTATCATCAATAACATCTTGATTATTAAATAAAGAGACGGCCGATCGATAGTCAGTCATTAAATTATCAAAATATTGATTTCTAAGCGTTTCAGTATTGTTGGCAAACCATGGTGTAGGGCTGTCATATCCATATTTTGGTTTAGCTTTACGAATCCAAAATATTAAATAGTCTATTCCTACTAATTTTGGTAATATATACACTGATATATTTGTACTAGCTTCTTGTGTTGGTGGAAGCCAATACCATGATTGATTGACTAATTCTGCAGATAGTGTAAAATCCAAATCATAAGATAAAGCTAAAGGTACAACACTGGTATAGTTTATTAAGCATAGAACAGGTTTAATTTGATAATCATCTACAAACGATAAACTCTTTTTAGAAATACTAATTTCCACATGAATATCATCTGCTTCATTATGATAATTATAAATATACATTGAAGAATTTAAATCTGCTTCATCATGTTTAAGTTGATATCGTTCTCGTGAACGTTCAATCTCTTTAGAATACATGAATCCATATTGTTGTGGAGGTGCATCTCTAATTGACAAAGCATAGGAAAATATTTTATTAGTGATAATTAGCAAACTAAGAAACGTAGACCAAGAAAACATGAATCAGATGTATAGAATGAGAAGATGGAAACGCGATTCACACTATTCCTTCCTCTCTAGTCTATAAAACACATTGTTTCAAGGTCATACCATATAATGCAATATTTTTTTACTCTCATACTATTTTCTTGAAGCTGATTGGTTTACATTTTACTATAGACATACTACTACCCAAACATGCATCGACTTGTATCATTGGTCAATTTTGCAATGATGATGATGACACATATTAAACGAGGCGTGATTCAGATATATGTGAATGAAAAATTTTCACATTTATGAAGCAAGTTATAAAATGAATGGTAACTTCCTATTGGTTCTCGATGAGTGTTTGTCAAGATATTATTGTTATTTGAAGGCAGATAATTTTAAGTTGCACGCCGTTGACCATCATATAATGATTATACTGTTTGTAAAGTTATGTTATCATTTCAAACGATATGATGCATGTTGTAAACTCAGTCAGTCAGTCAGTCAACAACAACATAGAACTTCGTACGTACGTACATCAGTTCAAGCTGCCATACTACATTAGCACAGAGATGCAACTGTCACTTAAAATCCCATAGTAGTAGAGGTAGTATAGGTATTAGCAGTAATAGGAATTATTGGGGTTCGACGATATTATTCAAGATGTAGAACCTAATGAAGTAAACTTAAAAGAAAAACATAGAGTGATGAGGAATTCAGAAGGTTAGGATTTGAGATAACACAAAGAATGAATGCACCTGCGACATTGTAAACGGTTTTGAGCTATGTTATTCAGGGTTCCTGAAAACCGGTCATTATCATTTCGCGGGCTCCAACCAGGTTGTTTACATCCACCTATATGACTCAGTCCAACCCAGCTGTCAGTGACTTCATAGATTTGTGCCATGTTTCGGCTCGACCGCCTTAATCTTTCTTCCAGCCTACTCCTACATCTGACAGCATCGCTCTTCGAGGCAGCCAGTGTTTGGGCATTTGTAACACATGTCCTAACCACCTCACTGATGAAGTTCAAATACTTCATCTACTGATCTACCATCCCTACCTAGTACCTGTTTCCTATCAGCTACATTACTTACTCGGTTGTCCCACAATACACGAGCAATGCCTCGGAGACACCTATGATCAAAAACCAGCAACATACGGATTTCTTTTACTTTGACTGGCTATGTTTCGCATCCATATGGTAGAACGGAGCGAATTACTGCGCCGTACACTCGTCCTTTGGTCAGCGAACGGGTATCTCGCCATACTATATTAGCACAGAGATACAACTGTCACTTCGAATCCCATAGTAGAGGTAGTAGAGGTATTAGCAGTAACTAATTATTCATGAAGTATAGTCTAGTGAAATAAACTTAGAAAGAGCAAGATGAAGGTGGTTATGAATTCAGAAGATTGCAATTTGAGCGAACACAAAGAATGAATGCGCCTGTACCATTGCGAACGGTTTTGAGCCCTGTCATTCAAGGTCTGTAACCATCAATTACTATCATCTCGCGGACCCCAACCAGGTAGTCGACACCTACCAACACGGCTCAGTCCACTTGTCAGTGACTTCATGCATTTCTTCCATGTTTTGGTCTGGCCACTTCGAACTTTCTTCCAACCTACTCCTACTCCGCAAAACATAGCTCGTCGATGCAGTAGGTGTTTGGGCATTTGTAACACATGTCCCAACCGCCTGAACTGTTGAAGTTTCAGTAATTCGTCTATTGACCTGCCGTCCTTACCTAGTACTCGATTCCTAACTATAGTATTGCTTACTCGGCTGTCCCAGGATACAGGAGCAATGCTTCGAAGATACCTATGATCGAGAACCAGCAACCTACGAATATCTCGTACTCTGACTGGCTATTGAATAAAAAAAGAAGACTTGGTATGAAGTGGAGCCTGTATTCTACAAGCATCCAGAAAGTACGAGGTCCGAGTACAGAAGAGAATCAGGATCCGGGACAGGGTTGGGGTCATAAAACGTTGCAGATAATGCGTATTTATACAGTTAGGTTGAATAGGAAACAGCATCGAAGTCTGTGACATTGACAGTTAAATTGACCAATAAGAAACAACAATGGAGTACGTGAAATTGATATCTAGCACGATCACAAAATTGACCAATAGGAATAAACTAAAAAGAATTGACCAATAATTCTGTTAGGATATTGAATGAATATCCTAACATCTATATGCAGTTATCTTTTTCTAATGAACACTGAATCATTGGGTGCAACTCAATGAAATAGGAAAACCATATCGTAAACGGTTATTTTGCAAAACATCAATCCATTGTCTGGCATTTCACTCACTGTTCATGCGTTTCATACAAATTCCATTGTGTTCCGACTCTTCCTTTCTTGATCTTCCCCCATCTTCTGCTGCCAGACATTACGATTTCACTCCCGTCATATACTACTTATAAGTAGCGCGCACCACACTCGTCCCCCCTTTTAATAAGCTGTCGTCGCAGCCTTTCTGATCGCCGTACCGCTGTCTTCTTTGGTGCTTTCCGTGACTCACACGCTTGATAATCTTGAAACCACCTCTGCAATTGACTGGCATTTACGCGCTTTTACTTGTCTTCTCTCCGGATCGTGTACACTGCGCCGCGTCTCTCCGTGATAACGTACGGACCGTCCCACTTTGGGGTCAGCTTTCCCCACCCTGATCCCCCTGCTATGCTACTTTTTTGTTCTCTACACTTTACTAGGTCCCCCACTGCAAAAGGTTTCCACGTTCTCCTCCGTTATTCCGCCTTCTTTATGTCTGCTATTTGCTTCTTTCCCACGTTCCAGATTGCCTCCCTCCTCTCTTTTCTTAACCTTGTTGTTGTCCATTTCTGTTGTTGTTGTGGCCAGGTCTTATAGTGCAATGGAAGTCGCAGTTGTCTGCCATATATGAGCGAGAAGGGTGATTTCTTGGTTGTACCTTGTATCGAGGAGCGATGCGCCAGCAAAATCAATGGTAACTCTTTCTCCCAATCTCCTCTTTTAGATGCTAACCATTCCTTTAACGTCCGGCTATTTCTATCTGTAAACCCGTTTGTCTGAGGATGATACGGTGTAGTTCGTATCCTCTTGATGCGAAACTATTTTAGACGGTCTTTAAACTCGTCACTTTCGAAACAGGGACCCTGGTCCGTTAATTTCATTTTCGGTATTCCGTGGCACGCTACAATATGCCGGATCACCACTTCGGTCACTGTTCTTGCCCGCTGGTCTGCAATGGGTACGGCATCTATCCAACGTGTAGCATGCTCCGTCATCACTAGCAAGTACCGGTTACCGGTCGCCGTCTGTGGAAACGGTCCCATTATATCCACCGACCATAGATCACCGACTGCGGTTACTGGGATCGACTGTAATGGCGGTTGGGTGTATCTATCGCTTTTCATTAGTTGGCACTGCTGGCAAGTTAACACGTATTGAGCCACATCGTCTCTCATGCCCAGCCAGTATGCACTTTGTCATAATAAATCCGTCGTTCTAAATTGTGCTAATTTAACATTTCAATAACTTATATGCCTGATACTTTGCACTGATTCATACACAATAATACTCATTAAATCTATCTTGAGCATCAAGATATTCATGGATGTAGGATGTCTGAGCTGATAACAAACATTAACTCTTATTAATTAACATAAATATTACTAAATAATACCAAAAAAGAATGCAGTAAATCAAAATTTGTAGGTAAATTTTACATTGCGGGGTTGTTGTGAAGATTGTTAAGTTTTATTTGTAACCATGAATCGATCAATGTTAGACCACCATTAGAAACCTGGAAGCACTGAAAGACGGCCGTTTCGTCCTGGTATGGGACTCATCAGTGGTAGTGCCCATCCACGACTCCTGCACCCCCGTAGGATTCGAACCCAGGACCTTCGGTATTGTGCGCGAACGCCCTAACCGTTAGACCACTGAGCCGGTATCTAACGGTGTTAATGTCTAATTTGATCAGCAAATTCACAGAGTTGCGCAACCTCATACCCTGTATACATCCGAACAGGTTTGAACCTTACTGGTCACGACTTCCCACTAGAACTCGGAGAAGATTCCTCACCAAGTCAGGTAAATTTAACTTTTGTTTAAAAAATATTCTGTAAATCATAATGATGTCAATTTTCTTTTTTTTTTTTGAATTGAAATTCGACTGTACTTCATTTCTTTGCTGATTTTAAATGATGTAATAATCATTACGTGAATTGACAAGTTTTATCAACAAGCATACTGTATTAATAACACGTACTATTCTTACAGAAATGAATATTCATTGATAGTTCGTTCATGAACCATGTAACATGTAGAATCATATATTAATCTTCATTTTGATTAAAAATCTTACTCTATGTAATGAATGAGTAGATGTGAACCATGTGTGTACAAACAAGGTAAATTATGCATTCACTAAGTGTTTGATTGATGTGAAAAAAAATGTTTTTTTTAAATATTCGAGTGTTTTTTGGTTAAGTGGGGGGGGTCTGTTTATAGTTGACCTTAGTCATAGAGATGTGTTATTGTAATAATTGAGCTTATCTTATTCAAATTATTTTTCAATAACTAATGATCATTGAGAAAAGAAAAACAACTTAATCTTCTTAATATTTTTTTTTTAAGGTTAAAGGGTTAAATTATTGTTAATTAGGTTTCTCGTTTTCATAAATTATCATCCTTTGTAATGATGATAACATGGTAAACAGTATTGCAGACAACTTTGAAAATTATTACGCTTGAAGCTATTACGACGATTTCACCTTAGTCGATAAACGCAAAACGAGACAATGAACCAGCCAGCGTCCAGATAGGCTACCTTGAATCCTAAACTGCAACTCAGAAGACTTGGTAAGCATGTAGTGAAGGAGAACACAGGTGGGGCAACCGAATTGTATTTAACGAAAATTACAGAGTTAATCAGTAAAATAGGAAAACCATATCGTAAATCGTTCATTTGCAAAATATCAGTTCATCATATGGAACTGGACTGTTCCTGTTGCAAAACATCAATCCATTGTCACTCACTATTCATGCGTTTCATACAAATTCCATTGTGTTCTAACTCTTCCTTT